CTCTCTCTCTCTCTCTCTCTCTCTCTCATTCTCGCTCCCCTTCTCTCTTTCATTCTGAAACTTTTTCTCTCTCATTGTCTTTTTAGTTTTTCCATCATTTTTTTCGCTCTCTATCCCTCCCTCTATCTGTCTCCGTTTCACTTTCTATGTACATGCTATCAAAGGTGATTTTACCAATCACTATATAATCAAAATAATTGAAAAATAAAAGAATTTAAAAAACCTAAACAAACAAGTGCGTGAATCAGTCTTAAGCGAGATAAAAGGGAAACTGGAGGCTAAAACAAGACCTTCATTATGTGTCATGGGCACACGACGGAGAACACATAAAAAGAAAGCAAAATAAAACAACGAAACAAAAAAAAATCGTGCCAAGGTAACGAAAGAAAAATTAAGAAGTTGAAACGGGAGCGACAGCTGTGTGACATCTTAACGAACCTCTCGGAAATACACTTTCTCTACTTCTTCACGTTTTGATTGGGTGTTATGCCTGTCACAGAAGACTGCCCCCCCCCACCCCCCGCCCCTAAGTCAGTCTTGATCTGTCAAGAAGGGCACGTATAGAGTCAAAGGGCGGGGAGATGGGGGTGGGGGTAGAGAATGAAGGAAGTAGCCATTGACGTCATCACGAACCTGTACCCTTTGATATAAATCCTATCATTAACACTGTCGTCCTACTGAAAAGAATCAAGAGAATCATACCTGTCGCCTTTCCCCTCGTCTCGTTTAAAAACAAACAAACAAACAAAAATACGAATAACACTAACGACAGCAAAAATAAAAATCACGAAACAAACAACATAGACAAATTTAAAATGAAAACAATAAAAAATGGCAAGAGCATTTTGAGAACCATTAGTAGGAGGACGATCACCAGGGAAGGAATAAGGAAAGCTGAGGAGAGGAACCTGGACTGGCAGCAGCAGCAGCAACAACAACAACAACAACAACAACAACAACAACAACATCAATAACAATAACAGCAGCTACAATAACAACAATACAAAAAAACAAAACAATAGCAAAACAAAAATAAAGAGTTACAACATCATCAACAACAACTAATGCATCACAAACAGCAGATAAAAATAGTAGCAACAATAAGTACACAAAAACAACAACAAAAGCAACAGCAACAACAACAACAGCAACCACAACAACGATTGGACCATTCCTTTTTTAAAATCCACCCCTTTAAAAAAGAAGTCCTAGGAAGAAGGGCAGAATATGCAGGAGAAATATTTGAAGACAAAAGACCACCTCTACCACACCTAAGCAACAACAACAGTACCAAAGTAAAGCTCGCAGTTAAAAACAACTCAGAGAGAAAGCTCCCCCGGTGAAGATGGTATAAACGTAGAAATGCTGCAGCAATTAGATCAGTTTGGCATTGACAATATGACAGAACGTTTCAACGATATCTATGACTCAGGACATACACCAGAAGAGCTACTCCAATCGGTTTATATTATCATCCCAAAAAACAAAAAGCAACACAATGCGAGGACTTCAGGAACATCAGTCGAATGCCACATAACATTTAAATATTTTTGAAAGTCATTTTGGGGAGAATCAAGGGCAAAATTGACCTAGAAATTGTAGAAGAACAGTTTGGCTTCAGGTCTGGAAATGGCACCAGAGAAGGAATCTTCAGCAAGAACACAATAGCACAGAACATATTCAAGTCAAAGATATTAGAATCATAGGAAATCTTTACTGACAGCAGAAGGCTACTAACATCCATAGAGAATTAAGACAAAGTTGTGTCTTCTCTCCCTATCTTCTAAAGAACTGTACAGGGTTGATCTTTAGCGATTCTCAAGACCTGCACGAGTCACTATTGGGGGCCGTATCACCAATAACCTGAGATACGCAGATGATACAATTCTGCCTGCAAAAACGAACGTGAATCCTTCTAAAATTGTGAAAGTAATAAAGGTGAACAGCAGGAAGGCAGGCCTCGACATGAATGCCAAGAAAACATAAACATTGGTCTTATCAGAATCTTCTGGAAAAACAACAGACATAACCATAGATGGGGAGAGAATCGAACAAGTGCACCAATTCAAGTATCTAACGGCAACTATCACAGGTGTTGGAAGAAGTGAAAAAGAAATAAACATAAGAACAGCAACTGCGAAAACAAGATTCAGCCAAATGTACAAACCATTTAAATCCAGGCAACTATCGCTCACTTTAAGAAAGAAAATGATGGAATGCTACTTTTTCCCTCATATTCCTATATGGCGCAGAGACCTGGACTTTGACTAAAAAGAAAAAACAGCAACAACAAAATAGATGCGTTTGGGATGTACTACCGTAGAATGGTCAGAATAAGTTGGAAAACAAAACAGATAAACACTGAGGTGTGTCAGACTCTACACACAAGATCAACCCTGCTGAATGAAATAAAATGTAGAAAAATACAATACTTTGGCCACTTAAAACGACACAGTCCTTGTGAAAGAGGTGCTTGAAGGAAAGATGTGGGACAGGAGAGCCAGGGGAAGACAAAGAATAATATGGACGAATAACATAAGAACACGAACTGGCCTGGATATGGCAGAATGTGCAACTGCAGCTCGTGACCGTGAAAGATGGAGGGTCATTACACCTCAACCTCTGAGTCAGACATGACACCTCCAGGTACCTTTGAAAAGAGTTTTTAATTTGTACAGTAATACTTACAACAATTGCAGGAATGTGTTGTACTTGAAAAGCTTCTTGGGAAGACGAGTCAGGTTGTTCCCCACACATCGTCTGTTAAGAAAGAGAAAATGTTTAATGTCAAAAGAATATTACAATAAGGCCAGGAGAATAACTGACACAATTATACGGACATGGATAATTCCAGCTGCGTCTTAATAAACGATTTGAAAAAGAAAACACCATCTCCTCCGATGGGAACCCCGTAGGACTGCAGAGCAGGCGATCTTATAGGCGGTGCCCATTGGCATCATCAGTTCGGTTCGGTTCGGTTTGATCCGGTTTTGTCGGTTTGAGGCCAGCTAGATTGTCCTCCACGGGAGAAGCAGAACCAACACACCAGACACAACCGATGATGACATTTAATAACAAACGCTTTTGTTTTCAAGGCGGTGCGTCGAGCGATCGGTTTGGACAGTTGTTCTATATATAGTGTGCACTGAAGCTGCCAGAAACCGAATTCAACCGATGTGAACCAATCCTCCAATGAGTACCGCCTATTATAAGTGATACTTCTGCTTCGTGGGCTCTGCTTCGTGCATATCTGAGGGGATTTCTTGGCTCTCCTTCCACTTTGCTCTATGGTGCTGAAGATGACGCTCAAACCCAGAGGCTTAGGCTGTTATAAAGTTTGTTGTGCCAAAAAGGGTAAAAAGGACTTTATCACACTCAAAGGTGTCTGCCAATAGATACATTCTTCGCCGACAAAGGACGTGGGATAGAATTGAGTGTCCAGCCAAGCATTCTGCTGGTCTGTATATAAAAAGACATGACAGTGTTGAAGCACCCTGCTTCCAAATCGTTTAAATGTTTCGGGGGAGATAGGGGAGGGGGGGGGTGTAAAACATTCTCAAAAAGCAACTGCATAATTTTTCATACACTTCAAAAAGTTAAAAGTTATACTGAGACGCCAGTCTTTGTGAAGTCTAAATCCCTTTATTAAAAAGAGTCAAACCTTTCGACGGAAATAAAATCATGTAGAGTTTGGGCCCAATTCGGTTCTTTTGAGGAGACACAATATGGCCTCCAAATTCTAAGGGCTCACTACTAGCTCAGATCATATCACGATGTACTACGAAGCAGATGGCCCTGGTTCAAATCCGCAACAGGGCTTTCTTTACTTGGGTTGTTTTGCGGGAAGTTTTAAGGCGCTCCACTCGTTTGGGTTGGTTCCATCAGACTTGGACGTTAAAGTTGGAGGTCCCTCCTCTTGGAGAGTCAAAACCTACTCAACATCTAAATAGATTCTACTAATCGAGTTTCGTGACTTATGGGGCGGCAACCATAAAAAGAACACCAAAAAAAACAAAACAAAATCGAAGCAGCCGTAGTTATGAAGGGCCATGGAGCATAATATTATTAGTGTTTTTCAAACGTTAAAGAAACCCTCAGTTTCTGTTAGGGGAGACAGCTAAGAAAGAATATTATTTTGATTCATACGGTTTATAAAAGTACAACACCGAGTCACGACACGGTGGAATCAGGCACGTCAATTTTTAGGCATATGAAGTTATCGGTATCAGCTTAAAGCCTGTACATTTGCCTTGCCTAATATGAACTGGAAGTAGAAATATTTAAGGTTGGAATGGGGTCGGGCTCGTTTGGTGTCAGAGAAAAAGGCCACCAAAGATAGGTAACTTTCAAAGCTTGGGTGTTCTTGGAAAATACAAATTGTATTTGTTGTACCTTAAATCAACGATTTTCAATATAATTCACTCAGGAATGTGTTTTCAATCTCAGTGAAAGTTGATGATCCCCAAAAACGAACAAACATTCGAAAAAAATTGTCCAACCAAAGGAAAAATCTCTGTTTCTTCGAATTCTTTATTTTGACGAGCGCCTGATTTCACCACAACACCACAATCTTTTTAACACACACACACACACACACACACACACACACACACACACACACACACACACACACACACACACACACACACATACATACACGAACACTCACAAACACACACTCAGAGTGTCTATGAAATGTAAACAATTAAGAGATCAAACTTAAGTAGGCGGTGGTTCTTTTGCTGTGCATAAAAATATAATTCTCAAATTGCATGTGTGAGGGTTTTTGGTGTTAGACGTGAACAAAAATCATTAGAACAAAAAGTAGAAGAGGAAGAGGAGGAAGAAGAGGAAGAGGAGGAAGAGGAGGAAGAGGAGGGAGAGGAGGAAGAGGAGAATGAGGAGGAAGAGGAGGAAGAGGAGGAAGAGGAGAAAGAGGAGGAAGGGGATATTTGAGAGAAGAAGCCTACATCTGATGACTTAATGAAAAAAATCCTATTTCGGTTGAGAACTGAAATCTAATATGGGATGGCTAGATTAGTTTCCTTTCCTGCAATACCCAGAGCTCAGTTTTTCCCCACATTTCTTTACAATGTGTTTCTTACGCCAAGCGTATCCTATTAACGGCAAAATATTTTGAGATAAAATTATTCAATTTTCATCCTTTTTTTAAAGGGAGTATTAAGAGAAATAAAGGTCTGTTTGTTTTGCTGCTGCTGCTGCTGCTGCTGCTGCTGCTGCAGCTCCTGCTGGCGCTAATGTTGTTATTGTGAGTGAGTGAGAGACTGAGTGAGTGTGTGTGAGTGTGTGTGTGTGTGTGTGTGTGTGTGTGTGTGTGTGTGTGTGTGTGTGTGTGTGATGTGGGTGTGTGGTCAACAGGTTGTCTTCTTTGCACTTATCAACGACTATGGAAATGCTGTTTCTCGCCGCAGTCTCTGCCTCCTTCGGGTATCCTAAGAGGCAGCCCAATCTACCATTGTCCTCCCCCCGATATTTACCATCTCCTGTTTCTGGTGGCTGGGTACTTCTGGAGTCAGTGTGCCAGGTCTTGGTCTTCTTTCTCGCAAAGGGGACACCGTGCATCTGTTGCTTGGTCGATCCTGTCTTGATAGGCACGCAGCAAGAACTGGTCGATACGGGATCCTCTCTCAGCCTCCACCTACACGATGTTTGCCTCTTATGTCTCGTATCTTCTCTCATGCTTTATCAGTTCTTGTGTGATCCCTCCTATTGTTGCACTGGCACTGCTGTAACATAATATGAGGCGCTCTGGTGCCAGGTAGTTGAACACCTCTTTCGTGGCCTTCTTAGCCAGCTCGTTCTCAGAAGCGTTGCTGAGGCCCGGGATTCATTAACTTGTCCATCATAAGACAAGATTGCAAGGTGGATGCCTTGGCATTTCCAGTATGGGAGTGGCGCCGAGCAGGGCCAGGAAGAGTGACAGACCGTCGGCGATTGCCTTTATAATAAACTGTAGGGTGCGTTATTTACATTTTTAGCGTTATTTAAAAGTTATTTTAAACTAAAAATGTCTTAAATCCCGAATTTTTTTGCTTTTTAACATTTTAATACAAATATTGAACAAAGTCCGGCCTTGCGGTGAACTGTTGTCAATGCAGCCAACTTATTTCGCGGGCTCATATTACCTTATGCAGTTGCGAGCATCATCAAACTCTTACTAAACTAAAAACTGTTGGCAAACACTATGACTGAGTCGGTGTCGCTGCATTCCTTCTCGGTCCAGTCATTTACTATACCGAGGGCCCTCACCACTTCCTTATGAGAGCATATCATTGTGTATCTGGCTCCTCTCTCTTTGAGTGTGCCAACAAACTTCGGAGATGATGAATCACCTGTAGTGATAGTGACTCTTGCACCACTATCTATTGTTCCCGAGTTCACCAAGACGTCATTGTATAAACTGTAGCGGATGCCCAGTTTTTGTGCCCATAGTGGCGCTCAAATTCCCTTTGCAAGTACCATTACCTCCAGCCAAAAGTGGGGAAAAGTTGTTCGGTTCCACCTCTTTTTACCGTGTTCTGGTCTGGTGTGGAAGTAAGTAAGAGGCTTCTTCCTCTGTGA